ATGCAGATGACACAACCTTGCTTGCTGAAAGTGAAGAGGACTTGAAGCACTTACTGATGAAGATCAAAGACCACAGCCTTCAGTATGGATTACATCTCAACATAAAGAAAACAAAAATCCTCACAACTGGACCAATAAGCAACATCATGATAAATGGGGAAAAGATTGAAGTTGTCAAGGATTTCATTTTTCCTTGGATCCACAATCAACACGCATGGAAGCAGCAAAAGACAGATCGCATTGGGCAAACCTGCTGCAAAAGACCTCTTTAAAGTGTTGTAAAGCAAAGATGTCATTTTGAAGACTTAGTTGTGCCTGACCCAAGCCATGGTCTTTTTGATTGCTTCATATGCATGTGAAAGCTGGACGATGAATAGAAGAATGAAGAATTGACGCCTTTGAATTGTGTTGGAGAAGAATATTGAATATACCATGGGCTGCCAAGAGAATGAACACATTTGTCTTGAAAGAAGTACAACCAGAATGCTCCTTAGAGGCAAGGATGGCGAGACTACGTCTCACACACTTTGGACATGTTGTCAGGAGAGATCAGTCCCTGGAGAAGGACATCATGCTTCGTAAAGTAGCGGGTCAGCAAAAAAGAGGAAGATCCTCAATGAGACGGATTGACACTGGCTGCAACAACAGGCTTAAGCATTAACAAAGATTGTGAGGATGGTGCAGGACTGGGCAGTGTTTCATTCTGTTGTACATGGGGTCGCAATGGGTTGGAACTGACTCCATGGCACCTAACAACAACAACAACACTTCATAGGTGATTCATGGGTACATAATGTCTGGTCATCTCTTTTTCTCTTGTATTGTCAGCCTTGATGATTATCATCTTCATTCAGTAATTCCTTAGGCATTGCAACTGTGGTGCAGTAGGTTTCTTTTATGTAGCCTTTCTGGCCCCGGGTTTGCAATTCTTCCACAATGATTGGTCAGGCTGCAGTCGCCAAGCGATTGATCTGTTTGCTGTCCATCTAAGCAGCTTGCAAGGTCGGTTGGTTTGCTTTCCACCTAAGTGGCTTGCAATCCACCGAATAGAATTGGTCAGTTTACCATCCTGCTAGGAAAGTCATGCGTTGAAATTGACAAGATTTCCTATATAAGCAGTCAATCTCACAGAGGTTTTTTGGGAACCTCCTGATGTATAAGAGCTTGGAGACCTCCTAGACTCAAATAAAAGAGCTGTAATAATGGTTAAGCTCTGTAATAGTGAGCTAGTAACTCTGAAGACCAAGAGAAATGGTGACAAGGACAGCAGAGCCGAGAAGCAGAGAAATGGCGGCACTGGTGTGATCAGCAGGAACCGTGACACCAGCAGAATACTGTCGAACATACTGAGAGCGTTTGGTAAATGTTGAATGGATGAATGAAAGAAGAGTCACCAGCTGACATGAAAGGGCAGTGTTGTCCATCCCGTTGTAATTCACCAAAGCCTTTGCTTACAAGCAAAGTAGGTTAGGCATTTTTAAATTAAATTTGATTTGAAGGTAAAATGTAACCCATGTAAGTATTTGTTGATATTTCAGGTAACCTGACATAGCTCATAATTTCAGGAACTATTTTCTGTTCGTACCCAAAGAGATGACTGAATTCGACGTTGCAATAAAGCCTTTTAGATTTAGAATTTGATCACAGAGTTTCCAAATGCTGAATCCTGTTTCTTACTTTTTAGCTTCAGGTATTTGGGGGGATATTAACTATCCTAATCTATATTTTTAATCTGCATATCAAAATCTTTTCTTTGCACCTCTAATTTATTGTATTACTTTAATTTCTTAAATTAAAATCATAATTTTATCCAAGGACTAAGCATAAAGGAAGTGGTTCCTAGGATTATATAGTCATCTGTTTCACATCTAATGTGCTGAGAAATATTTTCTGTATTTGGAAACTAACAAAAGAGTTGTTTGACTTCTCCATTCAAGGCATGCTGCTTGCTGGGTTTCTCATCAGAAATATCCCAGTCATCAGTGATAATGTGCAGATCCAGCACAAGTGGTCGTCCTCTTTGAGAAGCATAGCCCTGTCTATCATATTGGTTCGTGCCGGCCTTGGACTGGATTCAAAGGTATGAAGTGGGGATTTCTAACTGCTGAATAGGAATTTTGCTCCTCCAGTACTGCAAGTGTTTAGAATCACTGAGCTTTACAAAATGGATGTGGACACTGCGTGACACTCTCAAGGAGGGAATAGCATTTATTTCATACAGGACTATTGTGCAGTTAGTACCTTATGCTTCAGAGACCTCAGAAACTGTTTCTGTTCTTTCTTGGAGAAAGGTGAAGTGGGGACAGCACCAAGAATAAAGGTTCCCCTGTTCTCTGACAGAGATGTAGGCCATAGTTATAAACTATCATCAGTGATGGAGAAGACATCTTTTTTTGGTGTGCAAAGCCCTATATACATGCTTAGGGCTAACTGTACTGGCTCAGGAAATGTTCTAGTATATAAAATGAGACTCGTGTTTTTGATTTGTTTTCCATGTATGTTTTTGAATGCAGGAATAAATGTTCTTGGGGGATGTCATGAACCAAATGAGGGTTTTCACCCTAGCCTCATTTCTCGGGCCACGGATGATAAATAAAGCTAGTACTGAAAGTGTTAAGTCAGCTAGTGTGGGGATTTTGAGCACAGACTCATTAGCTGCTTGCCTGAGTTCAAAACCTGGCTTCACCACTCACCAGTTTCATGATCCTGAACAAATTAACTTATGCCTTTTTACAAGAGGACATCTGAAAAATGGGGATAATAGTCTCCCTATCTCATAGTGTGGCTATGAGGTCTAAATAAATTAACTCTAAAACACTTAGAACACTGAAGTGTTTGCTAAGTAAAGCCCATTACCTAGAAGGTTTGTGTTGACCCATACGTGGTCTGAATGCTGAAGGAAAAGTTTAAGGTCATCTCATACCTCAAGTCCTTCTTCTCTGCATGCCTTTAGAGAATTATCTTAGTGTGTCTATTTTTATATTTCAGGCCCTGAAGAAGTTGAAGGGTGTTTGCGTGAGACTATCCATGGGTCCTTGTCTTGTGGAGGCATGCGCATCTGCTCTACTTGCCCACTTCTTAATGGGTTTACCATGGCAATGGGGATTTATACTGGGGTAATGGTTTTTCTTTGTCCATATGAAAACATGCACAGATTTTAGGCATTTCTATGATTCTGTACCAGAGAATGCATATTAGCATTTACTTAAGGACGTCAGAAAATATGACATAGACATTCCAGCATAATCTAAATACCCTAACTTTAAAATATAGTATGTGTTTCTGTAGGTGCTAACTTTTACAGTGATTATAATAATTTAAACTTATTGAAGAAGTAATGGTCTTTTAACTACTTCTGGTTCCATTCTGGTGACAGAGATGCAGGATCCCACCTTAAGTCTGTACAAAGGAAAATAAACACATTAACAGTCATCAGCGCCTGGGACTGTTTTCCTCCTTCTTGTCACCAGACTGTTGTGATTTGTGGCTCTGCTGTCTCTTCCTCCTGTTGTCAGTCCTTGCTTCTCAGGATGAAGAACCATGAGAAGTAAATAAATAACCAAGCACTTAGTATTTGGTTCTAAAAAGTAGGTAAGAAGAGTCCCTCGGTGGTGCAAATGGTTAAGCTTAGCTGGTAAGTGAAAGGTTCGAGGTTCCAGTCCACCCAGAGGTACCTCAGAAGAAAGGCCTGGCACTCTATTTCCCAAAAATCAGGCATTGAAAACCCTGTGAAGCACAGTTCTACTCTAACAAGGATGAGGTTGCCATGAGGTAGAGTCGACTCTATGGCAACTGGTTTGGGTTAAGTAGGTAAAAAGTAAGAAATTCTTACTTGTTATGGTTTAGATTCTAGAGCTATACTGCTTGGGTTCAGATCCCAGCTCTGCAACTTTCTAGCATGTGACTTTTGGTAGATTACTTAATCTCTCTGGACCTCTATCCTTATCTGTAAAATGATGATTATGATTGAATCTACCTTATAGGGTTGTTACAAGAATTAAAACAGTGTTTGGCACGTAAGGTGCTCCTTGCTGTTCCTGCTGCTCCTGTTGTTATCACCACGGTCACTGTCATCATGACCTTCTCCTCCTGATCTGTCGTCTTACTTTACACACCGAGTCCTGATAGTGTCACTGACTTCCAGCCTAAAATACACGTGGCAGTGTTTTTCAAGCCTCATAACATGAATGTTTCATTTAAGAAAACGTCAGATTTCTGGGGCTTAACCCCATCAGGTCTTCTATTTACCGGTTGCTGTTGAATCGATTCCAACTCATGGCAACCCTATGTCAGAGTAGAACTGTGTTCTATAGGGTTTTCAATGGCTGGTTTTTTGGAAGTAGATCTCTAGGCCTTTCTTTTGAAGCACCTTTGGATGGACTTGAACCTCCAGCTTTCAGTTGGCAGCTAAGCGCATTAACCATTTACACCACCCAAGGACAGATCTTCTATACCACTCACTAAATCAGTAAGTAATACATATAGCCCCGGTGACACAGTGATTAATAACCGCTAACGCAAAGGTGGGCAGTTCAAACCTACCCACCGTTCCTTGGAAACCCTATGGGGCAGTTCTTTTCTTTCCTATAAGGTCACTCTGAGTCAGAACCAACTCGAAGGCAACAGGTTGGGTTTGGTTTGATACATGTATTTATGTGTGTGTGTGTGTACGTATATATATATATATATTTTTTAAACAACCTAAGCATTTCCATTGCAGGTTGTCTATGGCCACATCTTAAAAAATAGTGTTCTGTAGAATTTGTGCATACGAGTTTCTAGTTTGGCACTTCTCTGCCATTTGAAAGACTGTAGGTAAAAGTCTACGAAGTCTAGCCTCCAAAAGAGTAGAGATTATTATAATTTTTTTAAAATGGAAAGATATTAAGATACCATCATAAATGTTTAAAGTGCTGCCTGCTTAGTTTTGTTTTAGGTGCTGTATCTCCAGCTGTTGTGGTGCCTTCAATGCTCCTTTTGCAGGAAGGAGGCTATGGTGTTGAAAAAGGTGTCCCGACCTTACTCATGGCTGCTGGCAGCTTCGATGACATTCTAGCCATCACTGGCTTTAACACGTGCTTGGGCATAGCATTTTCCACAGGTAAACCAGTCAGTTCACAACATATTGTTCTCTTGCAGTCTAGAGACATAGATTAAAATGTTATGTTAAGCATGACATATTTGCTTGGTAATTGATTAAGGCAAAATAAAGTAGAGAAAACAACTCCAAGAGTTCTGTACCCAAGTGGACCAGTACCTACATTTACTCCCTTCCTATCCCTAGATATAGGCTGTTTAAGAGTCTGCAGTAAGGGGGATACAAAGTAGTAAAGTTTAAAGAAGGAAGAGAACAGCTTCTGCTTGGAGTGATCTGGGAAAGTTTAATCTTGGAGACTCACACGAAGGAGGAGTAGATTTTTTTCAATGAGCACAAGTGACAGAGAAGTCCAAGCAGAAGGAACAGAATGCTTTAAAAGAGGGACAGTTTCTGTCCCCTCATCTTTAGCATTTTGTGGGTAGTGACAGCAATGGTTTTAATGGGTTTGGTTGATGCTTGCAAACAAGAAATACTTAATTTGTGTCTGATATGGACGTATCTTGTTTTATGTAATAATAAAAGAGGAATTTAAGGCATTCTTTCACACACTTATTTAACACCTTTATTACCCTTTAAGGAGCCCTGGTGGCGCAGTCGTTAAGCGCTCTGCTGCTATCTTAAAGGTGGGCAGTTCAAACCCACCAGACTCCACAGGAGAAAGATGTGGCAGTCTGCTTCCATGAAGATTATAGCCTTGGAAACCCTGTGGGACAGTTCTACTCTGCCCTGTAGGATCACGATGAGTTGGAATCAACTTAATGGCGATGGGTTTGGTTTTTGGGTTTTTATTATCCTTTGGCATTTCTTAATCTTATCTTCTAAGATTGAGAGAGAAAATTTTCAACCTTATGTTATTGACAAAATGTAATTGTAGCCTAAATTTAGCTTCTGATTATTATGTGGGAACGTACCTTCTTGGAAAGTCATGCATTTTCAGTTTCTCCAACCCCTGTAGTTATCTTCCCATTTTATGATTATGTATAATTTATGCCAATTACCAGAGCATCACCTCTTCACATTGCCCCAGAGTCTGCCTTCCAGCCAATTCCTACCTTATGATGCCTGCTGTGTATTACTGGCAAATTAATCTTCTCACAGCATTGTTTAGTAATGTTACCTCCTGTTATCTCCGTAAGAACCAGTGAGGATTCCTTTTTACCTATTAGGTCAATTTTATTCTCTTGTCCTTATTTTAACTCTGCTCTACCTTTCCAAGGGAAACCCTGGTGGTGTAGTGATTAGGAGCTACGGCTGCTAACCGAAAGGTTGGCAGTTTGAATCTACCAGGCACTCCTTGGCAACCCCATAGGGCAGTATTCTCTGTCCCAAAGGGTCACTGTGAGTCAGAATTGACTCGACGACAATGGGTTTGGTTTGGTTTGGTACCTTTCCAAACTTATTTTCCCACTGCTTTCCTGGTATACACCTTTAAACCAATCATTCTCAGCCTTGACTGCAAATTAGAATTATTTGGGGAGTTTCAAAAAATACCAATATATGGACCCTAAGCCAACCAATTTACTATTGGGTCAATTCCAACTCATGGCAGCCCCTCACAGGGTAGAATACCTAGTGCTCCATAGGGTTGTCAATGGCTGATTTTTTGAAAGTAGATCACCAGGTCTTTCTTCTAAGGCACCTCTGGGTGTACTTGAACCTCCAGCCTTTTTGTTAGCAGCCGAGCATGTTAACTGTTTGCACACCCAGGGACTTCCTTAAACCAGTTCAATCAGAAACTTTGAGAATGGAAACCAGTGCAGTCAGGATCAAGAACTACTACTTTAGAGCAATAGTGTTTGTATTAGAATCACAGGGGGAGGGGGAGGGTAGACAAAGGAGGTAGGGAAGGTCAGGGCCACGGTTTTTATAATCCATAGTTGTGGTGGGGGTGGGGGTGGAGGTGGGAAGAGAAAGTGTGGATAGTTTGAAGAACCTTCATAATTGACTCTGATATTATCTCTTTCTTCCCCCTCCCACTCCCTCCCGGTGTGGTCCATTGACCTTCTGGATCAGGATGACCTAGAACCCAAAACCAAACCCACTGCCGTTAAGTCAATTCTGACTCATAGCGACCCTATAGATGCCTCTTTAAAATGTGGATCCCAGGCCCTGCCAGACTTATTGAATTGAATTTTCCAGGGATGAGACTGAAGAAGTCTTTTTTTTTTTTTTTAAACAACTTTAATATACCAGAGACTGAAACAAATTAGCTAGTTTCTACATACTTAAATTATTTACTGTAATAGCTTGGGTATTGTGCTATATCACAGAGAGATGCTTTGACGTTTACACTATTACCTGGCAGAGAATTGTCCTAGCTAAATAAAAATACTACAGAGGTAGTCTTAAAAATAAATACATAAATGAGACAGTTGCTGCAATAGCAAGAAATAAGTAGTTACTGAGTACCTTTTTCCTTAGAACAGTGTGTGAAGGAGGGCTTTATGTGTTGAGTAATTTTAACGTAATTTTCTGCACAGTGTTCTAACAGAGATTTTCTATTAGAGTTTCCTAAATCCTGTTACGCTGTGGGGAAAAATAGAAGTTCTCCTTATCTCTTTCAAAGAAGTTAGTCAACAAGAACTCTTCTAAGAGCAATATCACAAATAATTTGTTTTCAGATTTACTTTTAGAGTAAACATTTGAGAAGGAATAAGTCCCCTGCACTCATCACAGTAAGAAAAGGTTTTTGATTTTTATTTCCAAATTCTTAGGTTACTGCAGTCTATACCTATCAGAGATACTAAAGTCAATGTACATTTATTATTGAAAACCAGGCTCTTTAAACGATAATTTGAGAGCTTACCTAGATCTATCCAAATCACTCGGCCTATGCATATCATGCAGTAGAACAGATTAGCTCTGAATTACAAATTTTGTCTTTCACATTTTCTTAGGCCCTTTCACTAAACTTTCATTGAAGTAAATGCATAAAAATTGCACAAATCATAATTTTTTTTCATAATTTGTGTCCAATATATCCATACCTTTCTTATAAGATAAAAAAAAAAAAAATCTTACAAGATAGGCTCTTTTTAGTAAACATTTTAAGTCACATGTATTTAAGAAGGTAGAGGGTCTGTAAACTTCCTTATATGTAATTAGATGCTTCATTCTGATGATTGTAGAAGTAAAGTTGTTTATTTAAGGATTAAGAATTCTGTCCGAAGTTTTTCTTCTTGTGTCTTTTTCAGGCTCCACCATTTTTAATGTCCTTAGGGGAGTTTTGGAGGTGGTAATCGGTGTGGCAGCTGGATCCCTTCTTGGATTTTTTATTCAGTACTTTCCAAGCAGTGACCAGGTGAAAGAAATAATCCATGGGAAAGAAGTACTCTAAAATGCCATTAAAAACACTCTGAAACACTTCCATCAAAGCTAAATGTGAAGGACGTGGTTTAGAAAATAGCCCCTCAGTGTAAAGTTGCTTGCTGCTGTATCAGTGCCATCCATGAGCTTTATGAAAAGGACTAAATGTGTAAGATATGTAATGCAGTCCAAACTTTTTTTCTCTGGTACACTTTAAATTTCACAATAAAACCAATATCATCAATTAAAAAAATAAGATACTCAAGTTTTTTTATTATATTCAACTAAATCAAGATATATAACGGCTTTTTTTTTTTTTTGGTCCCTTTTGTTAGTATCAAAATACCTTATCTTCTAATGCTATCAGATAGATAGGCTTTAACAACTGTTTGTAATGTAGTCCAGTATTTCTTTCAAAGAAGATCAGAGTTCTTTACTGCACACAATGCTTTCTCAGTGACACAAAGGTTTTGTTTCTTTTTATCCTCCCAATTCTCTTAGGATAAGTAAACATTTAGAAATTTTTTATTCTATAAGAATTGGTATTGTTTTCAGATTTCAGTGCATTTTGAATGGAGTTCATTAAAATTTTAATTAAAGTAGAATTTTATTTAATGAAATTAATATTTCTGTTATCAAAATGTATGTTGATTGGAATTTTTATTGTACTGTTACTCCAAAAAACTCTAAAATTGTCTACAAAAGCTGCTATAAATGTACAAAAGAAACATAAGATTATTCTAATTTTACAACAAAATACAGAGAATACATTTCTTTAATATTTTTATTGTTCATAAAAGATAATAGCTTTCTTTTTTGCCTACTGTGTATAAGATGCTATGGTAAGTAATTTAAAGTCATCATCTGTTCAATGTTGTAGCCACTAGCTGCATGTAGCTATTTAAATTAATAAAATCAAAAATTCAGTTGCTCATCGTAAGTTCTGACAAGTCTCTCTAATGACAGGAATTACCACACAATTTAAATCAATTGTTCAAGGTTTGCTAATTGATCTATCATCAAGACTTTTCTTGTTGAAAACAAAGAAACTAATATAACCTCAAAGTATTCAATCCTGAGAGTCATGTTCAAACTAGCTTGTCAGCTAATTGTTCAACATTAAGGAAATTAAAGTATGTTGATTTAGGTGAATTTTTTTTATCTAAACTCTAAATTATTCTAATTTTTTCTTAATATTAAGTGTACAAACAATTGTAAAAATACTTGTAGACCTTTTCCCAATAGATTTTTAAAAATCAAAAAAGAAAACAGAATCAGTTCCTCAGTTGCACGTTCAGTGGCCACAGTGACTAGCGGCTCTTGGACTGGGAAGTGCAAATAGAGAATATTTCTGTCATCACTGAAAGTTATCTGGGCAGCGCTGACCTAGTGCCATCTGGATCACCCATGGGGAGGGTACTGTGAAAATGACCATTTTACTGATGAAGAAATTGAGAGGATAAGTGACTTGAACAAGATCACATAGCTAGAAAGCAGTGGAGCTGGGATTAAACTCAGGTTATCCAGCTCCAGAGCCTGCATGCCTCCAAATCAGATCAAGCACTTTTAAAAACCTGTGCCTTAAAGTGATCAAGATGTTTAGAAGGCTGAACAGAGAAAAGTAAAGAGAGATAAGTACACGGTTGTCAGACTTTTTAAGAAAAAAAAAAAAAAGGACTTCTGGGCAACCTGGCGCTATAGTCAGAAGCAACATGCCATCCCTCCACAGCAAAGATCTGTAAAACTAAGTCAAACAGAGTCACACGTCAGTCCTGAAACCCTAAGCATCAAATGAAGAGTTGGAGAACTCAACCAAGCACTGAATGGAATAAGAAACTGACCGAGAACAGAGAGCAAAGAGAGACAAATGCAAAGGTCCCCTATCAGCTACCACAGCACAGATCTGCCATCTTGGACTCCTATCAGAGATCAGCAAACAGGGGGTACAGGAAAGCAGCTTCATGGAGCTTCCAGCAGGAGACAGAACAACCGGTAACCAACGATACACACTTTCCCACCTCCCACCCTTCTTCACCCCCACTCGTCCTCCTCTGCTTCCGACAGTCACAGTCTCTTGGCCGGGAAGCACCAGCTTCACCCAGTGTCGCTTGGATGCCACCCGCCCACACTGGCCAGCTCCCTGAGTGCCATCTGTTGGCTGCTGGTGTTGCTTTTTTCCACTTCATTAGATTTCTTCCTTACCTCTCATCACCTCCCCCTCCTTTCTCTCAAATACCTGGCTCCGTGGCCATCTTTGCTTCTTCCTGGGGGGCTGCAAGGCGCCGCTCGACTGTGGAAGTGCTTCCCAGCCTATGCTGCTGCACTAGTGGGACCCCTGGGGCTTTTTGTTAGTTCTGATTTGTTCTTTTTCAATTTGTTTTCTTTTTCTTTTCTCAGCTTGGGAGCCCCTTGTGGCTGGGCAGTACCACACAGCTTGGGAGGTACTCCCTTACTCTGCACAGATGCACCATGACATCCCTGGGGGCATGTCTTTTTTCTTGTTTTTTTGGTCATTGTTGTTTCTTTCTTTTGTTTTGTTCTCTCTTTTTCCCTTTTTTGTCTTTCTTCATTTCCAGTTTCTCGATTTATTCATTTTTTCTTTTACCCTTTTTATTTTTTTTTTCATTTTTGTTTTTCTCCATTTCTCAGTCTCTTATCTTTCCACTCCAATAGCAAGCTCCCTTAGCACTCTTTTTTGTTTCTGTTTATATTTTTGGCTCCTGTTCCTCTCTCCTCTTTCCCATACCCATCTTAGCTCCACACATCACAATCTCCCTCCTCCTTTCTGCTTACCTGCCCTGTGAGCTGAACATCACACCCCCAAGCATCACAGGCACAGCAGACCAGAACCTGCCCTGCACTGATTCCCAGCCTGCCCTGTCAGTCCTAGTACATGCCACAAACAACCCATCCCAGCAGCTCCCCTTCAGCTGGACCTGCCCTGCTGTGCCATATCTGAGTGACTGACCCTACCCATTGGAGAAGGAGATGAAAAGTGTCGTGCCCACAGATGAGCAAACAACAAAGAGCACACAGCCCACCTGCTCAGACATAACCAAATAAAACAAAAAAGCAGGATGAGACAAACAAATCTACAATCAATAAACAAGAAAAATAACTACCGAATGCCTGGAAGACAGCAGACAATATCAAAACATACACAAAAACAGGACAGGATGGTTCCAGTAGGCATCCAAAATAAAACACCAGATGATTTTCCAGTAGAAGAAAAGGCACTGGAACTACCTGATAGGGAAGTCAAACCTGTAATGTTCAGAATTATCCAAGAGTTTAAGCAAAAAGCAGACAAAAATGAGGAAAAAACAGACTAATTCATGGAGAATACAGACAAAAAAATGGAAGAATTCAATAAAATAATACAGGAACAAAATGCTAAAATAAATTCACAACTAGAAATCATACAAAACAACAATTAGAAATCCAAAAGATAAACAACAAGATTTCAGAAATGGACAGTGTCATAGAAGGGCTGAGGAACAGGTTTGAAATGATGTAAGACAGGATCAGTGAAATTGAAGACAAACACTTGGATACAACTCTGAGGAAAAAGCAGAAGAAAAGAACAAAAAAAAAAATGAAGAAACTCTGAGAATTATGTGGGATACAATCAAAAGCAAAAATCTGAGAATGATCGGTGTTCCAGAACAGGGGGAGAAAACAAAACACAGAGAGGATCACTGAAGAATTGCTGACAGAAAACTTACCCAATATCATGAAAGATGAAAATCTGACCATCCAAGAAGCTCAA